AGTAGTGGTAGTGTGGTAGTAGTGGTAGTAGTGGTAGTAGTGGTAGTGGTAGTAGTGCCAGTGGTACCAGTACTGCTGGCACGACTAAAGCGAGTTTCAGTATCGACGAGCTCCAGACATACACACGTGTTGCTTCTGCCCTAACCATGCTTCATTACGGCTTTGTCATCTCAAACACACAGGCTTATACTGTAGTTATGCAAAGCCCTGCAGGGTTGGCCCAAAACCATAACAGAAGTCCTGGGCATGCGCAGCTCTGCAACAGCGAAATCGAAGGCGCTGGCAGCGCCGGAAACCCAAAGGTGCTTCAGAGAGGGCCTGCAGGGACAAGGACGGTCCTTTGAAGAGCCTGCGAGGGCCTGAACAAGTCGAAACCAAATGACTGCCTCGCATACAGGTTCGCGGCCCAGGGGCCCCAATTCTCCACCACAACAGCAAAGTGAAGCCCTGAAGCCCGAAGCGCCTAGAACCCAGGCTCTAGCCTCCATATCCGGCTCTCAGAGAAGTTGTTGGAACCCGGCTTGCAGAAGCCGGTTTGCATTGCATGGTCGTTGAGGTAGGCATATGTGAACCTTGCATTCTTGGCTCGAGCAAAGGCTACCCGAGGGACCTGAATCAACTCAAAAATGGTTTCCTTGACGCAAACATACTAAGACTCTCATATATGGGGTTTGCTGTGACAGAAACAAGCAGTTCTGAAACATACTAAGATTCTCATACTAGTATCATTGAGTCGTTGCAGAAATCTATATGCAAAGCACCCGGCCTTCGCACTGACTAGCTTCTCTCGAGGGTCCCAGATTCGATTCAGGATCTTCACTTTTGAACAAGCAAGGGGTTCTTAGATCTTCCAGCAAACTATTTCGCAGACTTTGAATCCTGCAACGTACGGCTGAAAGATGGAAATCACGGCAACTGGATTCGAGGAAAGTGCCTGCAACGTCACAGTGCATCGCAACACCCGAGACGCACAAGGTCCCGACCCAGTGCTAATCTTCCTTCAAGGCTCGGAGGGTATGCTTTGGGCTCCAAGCTAAAAACGATGAAAGCAAAACCAAAGCTCTCAATCTCCGGCCCCAACGCTGGTTAGCAAAGCCCTAGACCTCGAATGTAGCAACCCTGTAATGCACCCTACAGTGTATGCATCAGCCCGAGAGCGGCTTCCATTCCGTGTCATTGAAGGTTTGGTATGTGTAGGCGCCCAGGGGGGAATCGGACGTCGCCCAGATGCCGCAACCTCAGCGAATCCAACGTAGACTTAAATGAATTGGGCAGCGGTCCCGGATCACTGCGCTACAGTATGCATGTACGAAACGTAGATAGACAGTTAGATAGCCAGATAGTATAGACACACACACACACCTACATACATAAAGACACTCTGATCTGAACGAGTGTGTGCACATGCAGACGAGCAAATGCAAGCACACATCTTGTCCTCCCTCTGTGCGTTCTGTGCGCATTGGTGTTTGTCTCTGCTGGCATGTTTGCGACGGCACAACCTTCCCAGGGGTCAAGTCGAGAAAGTACTTGGGAACGGCCCTCAATTCCGACAAGCATCATGGCAGCTCGAGATGAATGATAGAGCCATCAGGGCCTGTCATGCGAAGCCGGAGCTGCTGACCCCAATCCCATAATCATTCACCGCCAGCGCCACATGCTGTCGGTTGCAAGCTCTTGAGATGCAACCCATCCTTTTAATTGATGCTTAGAGAGGGAGGAAAGGCGTGACAAGGCACGTGAGGCATGGGGCGCAGGCTGCACAGGGCTTGGGTGAAAGGGGTGCTTTTCCGCAGGGCCGAAGGAGCAGAAACCAAGAACAACTTGATGGCCGATCGCGCCTAGCTCCAGCTGTGCCCCGCTACGTGCACGCAGCCGCGTGCTGCCGGACACTTCCTCGGATCAGCATGACAGCAATGACAATCAAAACTACTGAAACATATTGGATATTATAGAGGTATGAATACGACGACGACCACGACTACGACGAACCGACGATGATCAAAAGCAAGGCGAGGAGGCGGAGGAGGAGGAGGACTACTGAATATGATTATAATGACAGCTTGGTATATGGTTCCAACCATTCATCAGTATTCTTGTAATTCTTAGCCTTTGTTTTGGCAAGAACAGTCCCGATAATGACCCCAGGCCAGGACACACACTTTAAATGTCCAGGAGTTCAGCGGGTCGAGCTGGGCTTGTTTTTCGGATGTTCCCGTCCAGGCTCTGAACCATCGCCCTTTGGAGCCCTGCGGCTACACTCTCCACGAACTTCGCCACAGTTGCTTCCGCTTAAGTCTTAAGTGCTGTCTTCAGTCCGTGGCCGTGTTGGCATTGCTCCGGTACACGAGGCATTCCAGGAGTAGGAAGCTTGAAGATCCCGCGAAGTGGGACGAACGATCTGGATCTCTGTTGCTGCGTGCTCTGCTCGCCCTCTGCAATACAGGTCGAAAGGCAAATGATCGTTTTGAGCAGGTATGGTATAATGAATTAGCCGGTTTTGCCTAGTCTCAACCATTGATGCAGGAACTGTCGGCGTCGGCACGTCCTCCACTGCCCTGCAGGGTCCAAAATCAAAAGTGCCAGACCTATATTAGGATCATGTCAGACTTCCTAAAGTGTACATTATCACGGCACAAAGACATATAGCTCGCAGTACATTCTTCAAGTGGGACCCCCAAGCAACCGCCCACCTGAGCTCATTTCTCACCTGCGCGAGGTTTCATGTTTGGAGGCTCCAGATGCATGCCGAAAGCTGTGCTTCTCAGGCACTCCGACATCAGCAAATTGCACAGAGGCTCTCTGAAACTTGAATGTCGACCTGTACGACGAGTTCCGAACTCTCTGGAAGCAACGTGTTTCGCGGCTAGAGTCAAAGGCCACCAAACTCCACCGCCCATTCTCCAGACCCCTCAGCCGCAGATCTTAATCCTGACCGATGCGTTCACGGATTTGAAACAAATCCAAACCTTTCGGCACCTCCTTCGCCAAGGGATGCGGCACGGGGACAGCGGGCCCCTCCTCTTTGGATGCGCAAGTGGAGGGTTTTGGGTTGCGGGTTGTCAAGTTTCACGTCGCGAGGTCGGCTGCTGCCGCTCTGTTCCCGCCTCACCTAAAGCTACCTAAAGCTGAAAAGAAGAGCGCCGTCTCATCCTCCAGTGCTCTCGCTGCCAGCTCGTTGAAAATTCGCTGCTCGGTCCAAGATGCGGCAGCCCGCCTCAGAAAGATCAGAAAATGGAGGACTTTTTTTTCTCCCACCAAATGGAGGACTTGGGGCAGACGGAGGTCCAACAGGTCAGAATCTGAGGTTTTACGAGGTCTTCCGCATGCCTAGGCGTCGACTTTCTATCGCAATTAAGAAACCCCATGCAGACAAGTCGCATGTAGGTCTCGTTCGTGAGATTCTTAGGCCAGGAGAAGAGCCGCAAACTACACTTACACATACTTACACCTTTTTCCGGCTGGAAGCTTCCGAGACTTGGCCGTTCCCCCACTTCCCCCACCCCCCCCTCCACCAGCAGGCTGCTGGAAAGCCAACCACCGTTGCTGCATCTGTCTTCTGAGTCTTCTTCCGTGGCCTGAACCGTCAAGCTGCTTTGTTTCTGGTTCTCTCTGCCTATATCTTCCTTCGTCGTCTTTGTGCTATGAAGTGCAACTCTATCCGAAACTCCGAGGATCATGGCGAAAGAGCGAGGTGTTGTAATCGCCGCCCTTGCCCCAGCCGGAAATTCCTGGCACACATCTCACGTCCACTTCTCAACCCAGTTGCCGCATGTACGCCAGTTGCAGCTCAACCCCTAAATCGGAAGAGAAGATGGAAATGCCCGACGATGCATATACTTATACTTAATGTAAAGTAGGCTCCCGCAGTCGAGGCCTTGAAGATCTTGACTCTAGGGGCCATGCCAATGCATCAAGACACGTGTGCACATAAACCTCCATTACATGCGCTTGCACATACATACATACTTACATACGTACATACATACATACATACATTGATACATTGACATACATACATACATACATACATACAGACAGACAGACAGACAGACCGACAGACAGAGACAGACTCACGTAGACACACGGTTATGCGCACAGCGAAGACAAACATTCATGCATGAGCGGCTTCAGACATGATACGTTCCCTTGGTTTAGGATGGGTGCTTAATACAGGATACACCCCCGCTACTGACTGCTGAGAAGCTAAGCGTAGTGCTGCACAACATGGAGCTTAATGCACGGCGTTGTGTGAGTACTCCTGCCTCGCTAAATATGCTTGTGCATGTAACTACATCCAAAACATTACAAACATACAGCCTGCCTGCGGACATGCAAGTACAAATACATACTTGCGTTCTCATGCACGAACTACCACCCCGCACATGTTATGATGCCCCACTTCTCAATCCAATCGGTGGAAGATTCAGAGATCGTGCTACGAGTACCTTGACAACCTTGCGGAGCAATACCATAATCATTGTCATTGCTCATGGCTCACGGATTTTACAGGGCCCTTCGACTCATGAGCCATGACTTCGCTCGAGAATGGCATATTTCGGGGCTGACCAGCGATTCAAACAAAATGAGAACCCGAAGCGCGGGTAAAATAGAAGCTTTTCTTGAGGAGTTAAATAGCGTGGATTCGACATCGTCCGTTCCTTCATATAGAGCAGCGAGGCGGACATCATGACAAGATGCCCACCCCAAATGCCAAGTGCTCAACTTCTGTCTTGCTCGGCCTGGAGTACCCCAGGTGTGCTCCGGGGCCTTGAGCAGAAACCAGGTCATGTTCCTGGGCTGTTCCGTGCTCCAAGTGTGCGTCGGGATATGGGTTTCTTCTTTCCGGAGTGTGCAGCCCTCGACGCCCCTCCCCCCAACGACTGAAATAGACTGGATTGGGTTTAGCCGTGTCCGGCTGCGGGGAATTCAGGAAATCGTGGGAGCCGTTCTCACCGGCTCGCTTAGCATGCTGCACACCGCTAGGGTCCATAGCGCCGCAAAAGATGCCCTGAGGCCGGGTGAAGTGAAATGCAGGTCCTTGAATCCCAGAAAGGCTGGATAGACTGCATGCAGCGTAACGCAGGCTTCTGTAACTGCTCTTGCAATCGAAGTTGTTGCTGACGCACGAAGTCCTAATCCAAAATGGTAGACACTTGGAAAACACAGGACTCTAACTGTCAATCCACTTGTAGCTCGAGCCTTACATTTACGTCTTCTGAACGCCCACTTCATCACTATGTCGTTCGTACTCTTAGCCAGCCCCAACGACCCCTAAATCCTGCCATCTCTCTGCAAACCTATATTGACCCCATAACCCTAAACGCCGCGACAGGCAGCTGGATCGCCGGGTCCTCGGTTGCGCACCGGGGCTCCCCACGTGCGCGGCAGCGAATCCATGCCTCGGCGTCTTGGGGTTTAAGGCCCCAGCAACTCGGACTTGCCAGACGAGGTCTCGGGCAGGGTCGCACGCAGTATTCTCAAAAAAGGCAAGCGACTTCGGTCTGAGGGGCGCCAGAACTAGGGTAACCGCTGGTACCTTATGCGTCACCGGGGGCCTTCTACGACTGGTTCCAAGCCCTGAGTTCGGGAAATCGGGGGGAGGCGCTGCTTCACTTCGCAATGAACCTCAAGTGTCCACCACGCGGGCGATGCCATGTTTCGAGCCGGCACATCGGACGGATCGACTAAAAGCCTCATGTCGGCAATTTAGCTGAGAAGGTGAAATGTGTCAACGCATCGAACTCGGAAAATTATAGAATGCTCAAAGGGACTCTTGAATAATCGGGGTCTCGGCCGCTTCCAGTGCCAGGGAGCATACTCTTTGGCACTCCACGCGGTTTCCGTGCAGGCCCTCTTGTAAAAAGCTCGGGACGGACGCATCCTTTGCAAGGTCCGCTGCGGTGAAGCCGCGGCAGTTCCGAAGCTCCAGATTGGCTCCCGCTGCGATCAGGGCAGCAGCAGCCTCGTACTGAGCCGTCCGCACAGCATGCATCAGTGGTGTGCTGCCAGGATCGTGATAGACACTGCTTGTCAAGGCGGTGACATGGCCCAAGCGGTGCTGCAAAGCTTTCAACGCATAGAGCATCCGGCCCAGTGGCTTCAAGCGTTGAAGATTCAACTGGTAGTCAACATCGGCTCTTAGGGCGAGGAGGGTGTGGACGAGCTCCGCTGAGCCACCACGGTTCGACATGGCGACGTGAAGTGCTGCTGAGAGTTGCAGTTCGCTTGGGGATGCCCGCTTTACGAGCTCTTGCATTGCCCCGAGGCTACCCATTGTTGCCGCGGCATCCAGCGCATTGAATCCAAAGATGTCCCTGCACAAGGGGTTCCCGCCTGCATCGCATAGCAGGCGGAGCGCCTCAAAATTGCCTGCGACAGCCGCAGGCAGGACAGGGTCAGCAAGTCCACCCTCCAGACGAGCCCTCGCTGCGATCAGAAGCGAGATAGCCTCGTGGTTTCTGGGGTGTCTGTGGAGAACCGCTATATCTAAGGCTGAATTCCACGGCGGAATGCCCAACGTCGGCTCATCCTTGGAAGTTCGCTGGTTCAGAGCCGCCCGCTGCTGCAGAAGACCCTTGATTACCTCTGTGTTGCCGGAGAGTGCGGCGTAGTGCAACGGCCACCAGCCGGCACTATCAGACTTGTTGACATTGCTGAGGCCGTTCTGGTGTAAAAACTCCGACACTGCGTCCCGTCCAGAGAAGGGGAGGAGCCCGCCCACGGGATCGATCCTGAACCCAGAGAAATGAATATGCTGCAAGTTCAAGCAGCGCCGAAAGCCGGGAAAGTCCTGTGTCCGCAGGCAATGCACCATCCGCTGCATGATGATGCTCTGCATGACTGGGGCCAGCCTTCGACGGTCCTCTTGCAACGTGAAGTCGCCTTCTCCTACAGGCCCTCCCGGGAACGACAATACAGTGCCCGCGAGTTCAAACTTGGTGCTGCCCTGAATCAATACCCAGGTGTGGTCTGGCGACATTTCCCGCACTGCTCTTTCCAATCTGGTCCACCCACGTCTTGCCCATGTTGAAGCAGTGAGCACTCTGCCTTCCCGCGGGCAGTCCAGCACAGGGCAAAGTGCCAGAAAGAAGTGACAATTGGCCACGTAGGCTGGGATGCTGTTGATTGCGTTGGCCTGCTTGCTTTCAGCACTTGGATCGGATGCATAGGCCTTATGCACCTCCTTCTGGGGGACGGAAAAATAATCATACCAGATGAATAAGGAGCAAGTCTGAAATTCTTTCATCGGAAGAGCCTTTGCGGCGGCAGCGAACATTTCGCTAATCTGGTCTTTTGGCACAGACTCGCTGCTGCTCAGAAACTTGCGCAAGACATCTTGCAAAACACTCATCTGCCGGAAGTCAGGGTCCGGGTGGCTCTGCGAGACCCATTGGTGAGACACAAATGCAGCCTTCTCCGAAGTTTTGCTTCGATCGAAGATGGTGAGCTGGCCTAAGGCCTTTGGCAGGGGAGGAAGGAAGAAGAAGAACCTGAGATGTAAACCCTATAGGGTTGAGAGTTGAGGGTTTATGATTTAGGGGTAAAAGCTAAACCCTCTAGCGAAACTTTCCAAAGGAGTATGAAGAGCTGAAGAGGGGATCGACAGGAAAGGAGCTCGGGAAGCGTCCAGCCTTTAGATGCTCGTGTGGGCTCACCTGCTTCATCTTAAGCACCACATCGACGGCAACGGTGTACATCGGGAACAACGTCGAATCCTGAGCTTACTCACGGGCTTCGGATGTACAACTTGCGGGCAAAAAGTCGAAACGCTCTACGAGAATAGTGACTGATAAGCATAGCATAACTGGTTCCCTCAGGCCACCGGTTTAGGGATACAGGGCTTCAAGACTCTCTAGTGCATGGGGCCTTTCGGACAGGAACGCCAAGTGGCTTTTCTGTCTTCTTCCAGGGACTTTGCATAGAGCTCCAAGGGCGCCGGGTCCCGACCCGAGCGGCAGCAAGACATTGGCACCGCGGAGTGGGATCCGACTCCCTCTTTAAGAAGAGTTTAGGGTTTAGGGTCCCGATCGTTCACCATGCTGGCAAGAACAGCAAGACGTACCATGTACGCGGACTTGAACTACTGTTCTGTGCTGTCACTGATTTTTCATCAGGGTATACTTGTTTGAATCCACTAGCGCCTCCAGTGCTGCTACCCGCTGCGCACTCACTACCACACTCTGTGCTGACTACTGCAACTACGAAAATTCGACATAGTAAGAACACTGAGAAACGTTGCCAGTCCCAAGGCACAACAAAAATCCGGTACAGCAAGTGAGATGTGAATGCTCCTGCACCTGGGCTTGTCCTTTTGAGTCGATGGTCGGCCAAAGACCAGGTTTCTTTGTCCGTAACATCACATAGAAAAATCCCAGGTAACTCCTTCTCTAAGCTGTCAATCTGCCAGCGTGCATGACGGTATTACGCATGTACAACTATGCACATCTGTTCATGTGGGGCTCTAGGGCAAGGTTTATAGGTCTTCGGGAATGTGACTTGGTCTGGGTGTGAAAACTATGTTAGCATTCGAGGGGACCCCGCAACCTTGCTGCCAGTTTAGCGTTTTCAGAATTTCCATCCTTAGGGCTTTGGATTTTATCGGGAAGTTTAAGCGACCATTCACTGTGTGGGGCTTGTCACAGCTTGTCCTGTCTCGGAAACAATGGGAATTCAAAAAAACCTTCAAGCTTCAGTGCCCATATGAAGGAAAGTCAGCTGGCTGCAGTCTAGGAAGCTGCGGGAGATTGAAACGATTCTGAAAGTAGATTCCTTCCGTCACGTAGGGTTCCGTCCCTGTCATCAACAATCCTGCTGTCTATATCGTCTGTATATAGGGTTCTCTATTTTCTGTTTGAAACTCCCGCTTCCTGAGCACGGCACTCGCTGGATCGCGCGATACTGCCTCAGCTTCTGGGATTTGTGTTCCCTTACCTTGGGCTACTCCTAAAAGTCCTGAAATTTGAAGGACTTCTGACACTTCTCCAGTCTGTGAGACTGAAGCTGTCCTCAACCAACAGCCAAAGACCTCAGCCCTCAACAAAAAAAAGCCACATGTCTTCCAGACTCCGAGAACAGCACGGTTGGGGGAAGCCCGCGCTATCAGCTGGGCTTAAGGGTTTCAGGGAGCCTGAAGCAGAGCCGACCCTGCGAAATTTGAAACTCTCATCCCAGCCGCGCCATCTTCAGCGGGTCGGAGGGGTTGCCGTAGGTCCAGGTGTCCTTCAACGGTTCTGACTCGGGTGATCGTCCAAACTGCAGGATGTTCAGGTCGAATCATGCATGGACACAACCCAACATGGGGGGAGGACTGTCTATGGTGACCCCTTATGGGCATCTCACCTACGGTTTCGACTCACACACTCGCACGACTCGCACGAGGCTGGCATGGCTTGCGAGGGTCCGAGCTTGCTACAGTAACATCGCATACATACGCTCACACCTCTTCTAAGCAAACAAACAAATGTAAAATCAAACAAAGGCTTCCGTGGGTGAGAGTGTATGCAGCATGTTTGTCGAGGTATCTTTGCACTCAACAGAATAATAGTAGATCTACCTACGGTTTAAGTTTGAAGGGATCCTTCCAGGTTCGGCTGTTGGAATCTTTTGTGGGTTGGAAGGGTGCAGGCTTTGAAGACCATGGACGCACACAGACTCATACATCTTCTATCAAAGGAACGTGGACTAAGACTGAGACTGGTCCACACTCAACACCTATCAAACCTCTGAATTTGGAGGGTGTTGTCAGCCAAGGTGCCGCCACTTCCAGGGTCACCGTGGGCAACTGTTCACGCACCTCTCGAAGCACTAGCTGGAAGTTCCGGCATCTCGGTCTCTAAAACCCAGGCACTTCATGATTCAGTCTTATAGATAGCCGGACCCGAACTCCATGGGGCTTCAAAGCAAATCCTGTACGCCTTGCTCCAACTTCAGAACACGGCCGTCATCCTGTCATATGCAGCCGTGTGGCTTCTTGCACGTCCGCGAAGAAAGCATCGAAGGTCGACGAGATCACATGGGCACCTGCTGTGTGTCACAATGAGAAACCTCACCTCAGATTCAAGCGCAGCTTGCCAAGGCCATGGCGGAAGCCATGAAGTCATGTTGTAGCCGTCGTTTATTGATGTACATAATCACCACGTTGGTAGGTGCCGGATCCAAGACTGCATACTGGTACCTCCCTGTGCCTGGGTACTCCTTGCTCACGTTTGTCAGAACCGCGAGCACATCGGAGCCGTTGGCCGGTGGGCCCGTATTATCCTGAGCGGAAGCAGACAGTAAACAGAATCAAAGTTCTGTAAACTTTAAACAACCAACATCTTCCTCTAAACCAAAACGCAACCTTTATCAATGTGAACAGCACTTCTTTCTCGAGGGGCGCCCAGCGGAGCTTTTTGCTGCGGAGAGCTGAGAACTGCACTCAATCCTAAGCCTAGTTTCCCCGGTTAATTTCAAAGCCTGCTGGAAGTCGTCGATCCTAAATTCTATGAATCAATATTCGCAGACCCTTAATTGGTTTTGATACATATAGATCCAACAGGAATGGCGAGACTCTGTGCGGAACTCCGTGCACAGGGCCACACCATTCGGTGCTTCGGCGCAGTCCTGCAGCTAGTGGCAGCAGGTAGGAGATAACAAGAGACAAGTAATAAACGATCCTGAAACTCATGACAATCTGTCACCGAGTTGCGTCCCACGACCCTGATCTCGGTTTTTTGATTTCAGAGACCCCGAACACCGTCCTTGAGACCGTATCCGCCGTAGCCGTACCTCAGCTTTCCACCACCAAAAATGTTGGCTCCTGCCGCCCGGATCACTCCGAAATCTTTCGCCGGTGCTGCGCTGCTTAGAGCTCAAGGAAAAGGTCGCTCGTCCCTGTCTCAGGACTGTCGTCTTCTGGCTTCAGAGAATCAGACCTGCTCTTGGGCAAGCTGCGCGTGGTAGGCCACGACAATGTCCGTACCAGAGAGCTCGTCAACCCTTCGCTCAAAGCATCGGCTCCGGTTCGCTCGCACTAACGGCAGCTTCTTGCACATAATAGCTGCTGAAAAAGCAGATCAACTGCAAGCAAGCACTGGCTGCTTCTTGCCATCTGAGTTCCATCGGTGGAGCTTCGGGACTTGCGGCGGATAGTCTGCACCGTTCGAGCCTCGGCCGAACAAAGACATAAAGGCTTTCAATGCTCACAGCGACAAGCGCAAATGGCTGCTTCAGCAGTCATAAAAAAACTTGCTTTGTGGTGTTTTGCCTGTTCTGCTTCGCAGGGACGAGCCAGCATTGCAGGGTGGTTTACTCGGCAAGACAGACATTGCTTCCCAAGATTAACGTCCAACTTTTCTGAGCCAAAGAACCGATCGTCAGGCCGGTGATGCCCAGGTTCTTCAGGTGCGGCAGCACAGCCCGAGTTACGTAGATCACATCGCGGATGCTCATTGTTCGGGTGGCCTGAAGACCAACGGGGAACATTTTCTGAAGCCTCACAGTGACCTTCGACATGATCAGCACGTCAATGTCCAAGTCAAGGTTCAAACCACCCCCTCCATGTGCTTGTCAAGAGAAATTCACAAGCACCGGCCCATCAACACAAACTTTCCGCCGTGCCTGACGCCCAAAGCGTTGATCCATGCGCTTCGCCAGATCAAAGCTGGCCTCTTTTCGGGGGCTTCGCAGGCGCGGGTGGTGGTTTGGGAATTTCGGTCGCCGAGAAACTACCTACCCCACACAACAACCCTACCGAAAATATCACTGGCTTCGTCTCCAACCGAAGCTTGGGCAGTTGACTGCAGGTAACTTGGCTGCAACGTCCATTCTCCAATGAGATCTGCCTGGCTTGAAGCTTCTTTGCCTGCGAGCAATGTTTCTGCAGAGTTGTTTTAACTGCTCCTGCAAGCACAAGCTAGCAGCTAGATTCTCTCTCCAGTCCCAACTCGAAGTGAATCCAGACCTGAACCCGTGAACCGCAAGGCCTCGAAAAGCTCGGGCGCCATGTTCTCTGGCCTTCGAGAAGACTCGGCCAGCTAGACATCTATTCTAATCCTCCTCATGCCTTGTGCATGGCCCCTCAATGCTTCCATCTGTAAACACGGTGTGCGATTGGAAACCTGTGCAGCACACAGCGTGCCTGATTCGAAACCTTCAAGAAGCCAGCACCGCAGCACTCAGGCGTAGGCTGAATATTAAACGGAGCCGCGTTCCAGGCGATGTCCCCTCGCCTGCCGATGCAAGCTTTTTTCCCAAACCTTGAGCCCCCACATGACGTTCAACTGTCACGGCTCGGCAATCCACATCAGACTGCACAGGTACATCAGGGACTGACTAATGATGTCATGATACGACAACTGCGGGGAGACGATTTGGCCTCTGCTCGAGGCTAGCACTGGACCACGGTAGAAGCAACCCCATGCTTCTACTTAGCCTACTCACTCGCCCCAGGATCCGACAATCAATACTCGTTTCATCCTTTTAGGTGGTGGGCAGCCACGACCAAGCAAACAAAGTATTCTGGCACTGATGATAACCAAGTCAGAGCACACCAGGACAAGGCCGATGATACATAGTCACGGTGATGCTGGCGGTAGTGTTGATGCTACGATACGCATCATGGCCACGACCCACGACGATGTCGGTGATGCGGGCAAGGGTGATGTTGTTGAAAGTGGCACCATCGACAGTGGCTCAGTGGCTGTGATGGTAGCAAAGGGATTTGTGAGACAGCGTCTGGTGCTTCTGTGCAAACGGTCTCATCATGTCTGTTTTGGATTGCTGGAATAGGTGTAGCTGAACATTGAGATGTCATCGTTGTAGGCGCTAGCTCGACAACTGCTACTGCTACTGCCACCACTGCTGTTGATGATATAAATCCTGCATGACCTTAAGGACCCTACACTATGGGAATTATGGCATATTCCTTATTATGGGTCATGCAGGATTTATATCATCAACCGTACCACTACTACTACTTCTTCTTCTTATTCTTGCCTGGATATCACAGTGTTAAAGCACAGCAGCCATTCAACCGACAGCACGGAAACTTCGCGATTCTGAAGCACCTGGCGGCAGCGGAAAAGTTGGCGATCTCCTCGGCCTCAAGCTCTGGGGGGTTTGGGTTTAAGGGGTCCAGGGAGTTCGGGGTTCGTTGAACAGTAATGGCATGAATTCGGGTTCTGGCAAGTGCGTAGAGGGTTCTCTAGAATCTAGAACATCTTTCGGAGAAACCTGTGCCAGACGAATGGAATCTGCGGGCGAAACATGCACAAAGCTGGAAGTGAGGTTGAAATGCCCCTCTCACTCTCCCAACAAGACAGGTTGTTAAACAGATGGGCAGGCAACAGACGTGCAAACCAACAGCACTGATGCTGCAATGTCACAACTGGCGTCTTGGGTGTAGTCAGCTACACGACACTGTTCTGGTTCGGGGGCTTTGGGATGCAGCCTCAGCTGCTACAGCAGTGTTCAGCACTTTCAGGTATACGGGCAGAATCAAACCACCGAAGCAAATCATGTTAGTTCGCTATTTGCATACATAACCGCAGCCATGTCATCACAAGATTATACCGCTAACAACACCGAACAATAATGATAATACCTCTCGTAAGGCAAAAGGTATTCACCATGGTCACATAAGAGAACCAGAAGAAGCAATCGGAATACAGGCACGAACAAAGTACTTCGTCAGCTCTGAATCTACACCCGTCGCTCCCTCAATACCAAGCTGCGGTTGGACAACCTCGGCTCTAGGGGTCTGCACGTTCCGCCGTCGGTTGGCATGCTGTATTAAAGGAAACTACAGGCGGGGAGTTTGGGCTTCTATAAGGCTTCTGTAAGGTGTATAGACCTTCTAAAAGGCTTCTATAGCGGCAACTACCCACCTGAAAATGTCCTAGAGTCCTAGACTGTATTAATGCCACCGCTAGTCACTAACAGTGATGCCTCAGTACGGAGAGACGACGAAAATCATTTGCTCTGGGCGTTTGCATGATCTGAGGTGCTGGATCGCACGGAGTTTGTCGATGCCCTGTCTTCTTCTAGCTTGGGGTCTGAACGTTCAACCCTGAGGACGAGGACCAGGGAATCCTGGTTTCAGGGACGAAGCGATGCCGTGAGGCAGGAGCTTGAGTGGATGCGGCGGAGTGGTTCGGATGCATCCATGGTGAGAACGAACTCCACAAATAAAGCTTGCCCCTACAGGTGAGAACTGCAGCTTCCAAGATGCTCAAAGGTGCCTCGAAGCTGTTGTTCAAGCTCCTTCGCTCATCCAACTGTATCCTACAGACTCTGAATCGGAAACACGAGCATCAAGAAATACGCCCGAAGACTTTCCCGGGATCCCTCTCTTCTTTGGAAGAAAGAGCTTTGTTTTGGTGATCCCCCCAGGCCCAGACATTAAGACCCCGAAAAAGGAAAGAAGCCGCACCCAAAATGTTGCCAAACCCGGGAGCCTTGGATGAACGAGGAATGTAAAGCAGCCGAGTAGGCACAAGCAACAGCAGTCGAAGGTTTTGAGTCCAAAGGGCATGTCAAGGGCGCCTAGTGATGTATGTACTCGCTGTCTGTCCATCCACTCAACCCTCAAAACACCTCGAAGTAGTGTGCAAACAGGGTCAATTGCAGGCAACAGTAACAAAGACACAAGCATTCAGTTTGGATTGAGGACACAACTATACCGTTCCTACGCCTTGCTATGCTCTCGGTCAACTTGTAGCACTGCTAAGCCAAACTCTTTCATGCTGCGAGTCTGCGAGAGCGAAGCTTCCGATTGAAGAACCCGGAACAGTGGTCATAAATGTCCTGGCCAGACAGGCGCTCCCCTCGTCGGCTGCGCAGGGACACATCAGGAAGCGCTGCATGAGCCATGGATGCGTGGTGTACCTTTCAGTCCCAGGGTTAGGAGTGCAGGGTTTAAAGGGCGCCAGGGTTCTTTGCCGAGGGGTTAGTGAAGCTTTTACCAGGGGAAAAGGACGACAACAGAACAGTAGGAATCCCCTGTCATGGCTTCCACGTATCTCACTTGCCTGGTTCGCATAATGTACTTGAGCCCCACAGATTCAGGGAAACCATGTTCGCTTGGACCGAGCTCCAGGTCAAATCAGGCAGAGACACGTGAAGTTGCCAAGCCCCGATGCACGCATCTTCTGTGCAGTGGCGGCGGCCGATGCGTAGTACTTATGCATATACCTCTGCAAACGCGTTAAAGCATCTCTTCGTCTTGTGCATCTGCAGTGAGGTAGGGAGCTACGAGGGCCGCAGATATTTACTGGCGGGTTGACAGGCAGAGACAGCTGTGGGCCTGGTTTGTTGGAAGGAGTAAACACGTTCATGGAGTTATACTCTGGCACGCGACACCAAGGATCATCTCTTGCAACGAATACCCTGCAGCAATGTTTAATCTCAATCAAATGCTCCAATCATTCCGAGCTGCTTGTTGTCCACCTTTGCTGAGGTAGGTCTTACAGCGTTTTCTGGTTTTGACATTATTATGCCGCCACGTCCGGTCTGGGCCAGGGGATGTGAGACAGCCCGTGCTCAGTCTGGAAATGCATCGTCAAAGCGAGCTATAGCGTGCTGGACGTCTGCAACCTCCCGACTGCTGCCTTCATACAGGAAAGCCAGACCGTTCCTCATGTTTGTCCTGCTCAATTAGAACCTGGTCTTCTGATCTCTCTTGACAGGTATGTGAGCTTTCTGAGTGATGGCTTAGTTCCTTCTTGATTACGCACAGCCGTCCGGCAAAGACCAGCTGAGAGCTGCACACCGTTGATGTAGTCCGTATAGCCAACGTCATAATGGTTCATGAAAACCTTGAAACAAGGCTCACAACGTCCAAGCCGCGACACATGAAACGAGTTGAAACACAAACCCTGCAGCCTCAACAAGAGACTTCCGACTTCCACAGTGCCACCTAGCAGCGACATGGACCTTCTTGACTTTGGACGTTGCATAGTGGCCAAGGTTCCTGAGCATCAGTCGGCTTCTACACGCCTACATCGCCGTGGTACACAAAGCATACTCCGGAGCCTCAAGAATGCACCTCACTATGTCAGACGTTTTGTGTTGGAATTTGGAATCTCCACAGAAAGTAAAGAAAGACCAGCTACAGTGTGTGAACAAAAACAGTGATATCGATGGCATCAATGAAAAAACACAGGATGCCCACCAAAGCTATGCCGAACTGGCTTTCAGAATCTACGTCCGGGCTTACGGATCTCCGGACCTCCCAACTGTGGGGGGGGTTGCTCGCCGAATCCACAGGGCTTGCAGGATTTAAAGTGCCAAGAATATGCTGAGCAAATATGACCAGCTGCTGCGTGTCTGTGCGGTCTTATGCCAGACTTCGGTGGGCCACGGACGCTCAGTTTCGTACAGTATTCGATGCGTCTTAGCCTGCCTTCTCCTTTTCGTTTGTACTCTTTGGACATGTTACTCCCATCCTACATCTGTTTATACAACTGAGCAAACATCAGAAAAGGCACCTCTACCGGAATTCATGTTACTTCGAGGCATATCAAAAAGACTTGCTCCAAGTGTCTGTGGCGTGCCCTCTTTGCGCATCCAGGGGCTTTTGCCATGCCATGCCACATGGCTGCGGTTGGTTACCTCGGAGCCCACACGGCAATGAGAGCAGGCGTCGAAATACATGCGATGCAATGTTAGCAACAAGTGCCAGCCGAGTAGGACTGCTGGACTTACTGTTGGCTTCAGGTATTCAAAACTCAATGCTTGTTCGGGTTTGTGGCTCAGTCGCAGATCCTTGCCGCAGGACTTGCTACAGCAGCGAGTCCTCCCGCATGTTTCTGGCAGGCTTTGTTGGCCTTGATGGTACTCTCAAGCTTGGCAGGTTTTAGTACCCTTAACTTTGCACAGCAGTCCAGTCGGGCCGTTCGGTCCCGGGGTGCAAGAACAGAACGTGAAATTCAATTGCGGGCGACAAGCAAGCACAAGCACAAGCACAAGCACAACGCAGTATTCAAAACCAACATGACGGGCCTGCCACTTTAGGCCTTTAGACATATACCCGACAAGTAGGTCGGGAAACACCCACGATATGAGATACACTTCTCACTCTGCGCAACATTGCTTGCTGCTCTTCTTCATGCCCAAGTAGCAGACCCAGTATACCCTGCGGTGTCCTGCATAAACCAGGTCGCGAAAATCATGTCACATCATGAAACCAGCTAAGAATTAACCAGAACTGACATGTCCTCCTCAGCGCCGTGGCAGCGGATTGTCGTGTTCAGACCTTGTGCCCGTGTGCAAACGGCAAAAGAGCAGCCACACCAGCACCAGCACCAATGTCGACATCACAGTCTTTTCAAGGCAGAAAGAGCAACCATATCGTGCTCGTCTCATCGCGTTCGTCATCATGTTGGTTGTCGTCATCATTACCATGGTGATGATCAAGGTCGTCGTCGCCTCTATCTTCACGAGTTTCATCTTGTGGTGACCGCAGCCATACACGTCACGTCATCGTCCCTGTCATCGCATCTCATCACAGCAGCAACCTGAATCGACATTTTTGACGGTTTAGGTGTTCATGCCTAGGCACGATGCCTTGTGTCGTAGTCGTAGATAGGTGTCAGGGTGCAGGTCCTCGGCAGATCCGCACGCTCCCGCCCGCACGCACCAAACATCAGAGAAGCGCATGGCAAAGCTTGAAGCAAGAGGGCTTTGGCTCTTTGGAGCTATCTGCACCCGCGAGCACCGTGTTCGTTGCCCGCAAGCATATGCAACCCTCACGAAGCTTGCTTGAAAATCCATTGCAGGAGCAGCTGGACGCATGAGCATACAGTACAATCGCACACATACCGCTCCTGTGCTTCCTGACCAGCCTGCAAGAACGGGATGTAGAGAGAGAGAGAGAGACACAGAGAGAGAACGAGGGTGTCATTTAGATGCATACAAAAGTGCTGTAGGTTCGCCCTTTTGCAACATGCAAACATGTCGAAACTACTCCGAAAGCACTGGTACGCTTGGACCGTGGTTAGCCGTAAAAACCTGGCCTTGTAGGGCATACAGTTACGCCGGTCGAAAACATGCTGCAACCGAGATGCCGTCTGTGAGCACACCCCCTGTTCAACCTTTTTTGGGGATCGTTGCGGGACCAAGGACAAGGGTCTCCAGAAGTTGCTCGCTGCCAGCAGCCAGGCGGGCGTAGCTGCCTCGCCAGTGTTCATAGGCGTTCGCTGTGGCAGGACGCGAGCGCAGTTTCATCTACACCAGACAGCTCGTGGTAACCGGCAGCAGTACTAGTCGTCTACGTAGCCTTAGTCGTCCTGTGTCGTTTCGTCGTCGTAGCAGTAGCAGTAGCGGCAGCGGTAGCAGTGTCGTCGTCGTCGTCGTCGTCGTCGTCGTAGTCGTCGTAGTCGTCGTAGTAGTAGTAGTAGTAGTAGTACGTAGTAGTACGTAGTAGTTGTTGTAGTACCACCACTACCACTACTGCTACTGCTGCTGCTGCTGCTGCTGCTGTTGCTACTACTACTACTACTACTACTACTACACTGCTAAGTGGCGGTAGTGGAAGTGGTGTATAGCAGTTGTAACACTACGTCACACTACGTCGCAGGAGCAAGATCAGCGGCCATAAGAGTGCACACCACCAAGGGTAAGGACGCGGGCTGAGCTGATATCCAAGCGTCTGTTCGGAGCCGCGCAAGGTGCTGTCGGCGGCTGGAAGAGTCGGAGTTGGAAATCTCCATCTTCCTAGTCCGTGATGCCACGCAATTTGATGTCATAGCAAGGGTTACCCCACAGCATTTACATGTGGACATCGGCCGCCTTATTGCCATTCTACTATATAGCCCAGTTGCTTTTGAGATTTGGGGTCTTGTGTAAATTTGGGGGGGTTGTCTTGGCTTGGAATCCTTGGAAGTTGGGCGAAGGGCATGAAGCTGCTGAGGCTGCAACAGGTTGGCTGGCTTAGGGCTCAGGGCTCTACCACAACAAATGTCAGTCAAGTCGCGCCGGTCCAAATGCCGCTCAAGTCCGGAAGCTCGGCTCCGTTTTCATTCCTTAGCTGTAGGGTCGCGATGTCTTGGGCACATGAAAAGACTTTCTGGCTCTCAAAGCCGATGATATTCATTCGGCGACAGCGGAAGCAACAGTTGGAACCCAAGCACCTTTTCGAAGGCTCCTGACCCTACGAATCTGCAGTCCGGTCTCATGATCACCTTTCCATCCCAGGTACCGGGGTGGCAGTGGCTCAGGTATACCGAAAGAACCGCAACGAATGGGCGGAGAGCCATGGCTTTGCTGTTTGCCTTTGTGCAGTTCGACACGTTCGCGTTCATGACAATACGTAGTTCCAAGTATCCTTCTCGTAGCAACTGGAAAAAATGTCAGAGATGCTTCTGGATATTGGCTCAATGGCTGCGGTCCCGGGCAAGTTGCTCCAGCCATGTCTGCGACGCTCCCGTATCTGCTTCAAACTTTCTTTGTGTTGGTGATGCATTTTAAGCCACTAATGCACGGATGCCTTAGGAACGATGTACCAGCCCTTGGGCCTCCTAGCTCTGAATCATGTCCTGTGAAACACATTCAGCATGATTTGCGTTTTTCCAATTCAGCGTGATTAAGGCTCCGGTTCCAGGCTTTGCTCCGGACTATGCATAACTACGGAAATGCGAAATCAGTCAGAGTCTATCTGAGAAAGAGTTGTTCAGCAGTGACAACAACCTCTGGTAAAGATTTCCTCTTGCCGCTGCCCTTGTCTAGCACCCTGCTGATCCTACCTGGGAAATTTTCAAACCCACAGGGTTGGCTGCCTTCAGGTGGGCCAGAACTGCCTTCTCGTCCCTCCAACGCCGGGTTGCAGCATTCCTTTCAGCTTGCGCCGGCTCTCTTCGGGCATCCATGAAATTCAGTTCGTACCCTTACAAACCGGGAGTGGGGCATGAACTCCTTAGACGGATCTGCAAGTAATTCCAAAGATGAACACTGATGGACGTTTTTTTGCCGGAATTGTAAATTCGGGGTAGATGCAATGCGCGGCTTCTCAAGTTGAGGAAGGCCAATTGCAAATTCACCAATGTCGTGAAGAGCAGCAGGTTGGGCCTCGCCTAAGCCCGGTGAGACTAAACCCTGGGTCCATGGGTGCTAGAGTCAACCGCGTCAAAACAAATGCGCTGAATTCAATGCTTCGTCTCTCCCATGTTCACTCAAGAAATTTTGGGTGATTTGGAGATGACGGTCAATCCGACGAGCGAGGCCTCCGAACGAAAAGGATCTTTGGCCGCAAACCGCGATCTGTAATCCTCGCTGCAGAGCTGCGGTTCTCGGGGTTGTTTGGGATTCCCGGGTGTTGAGACATGGGGTGCTGCGAACGTCAAATTAAAGCGAACTGCATGCGAGCCGTAGACGCTCTTGGGCCTGGAACAGGGTGGACAGCGTAGCTCGTCGGCTGAATGTAAACAAGAAACGAATGACTCTCTCTACGTCTCTCAGCTTGGGACAGAGTTCTCCATTGCTGGCGGACGCGACGCGAACGTTTCGGTGCTGTTTGTGGCAGGTCGTCTGCTGTGTACTGCCGCTTTCTCCATGTTCAACGGATCCCATACGCTCACACATACACATATGCATGCAGGTGATTACATGTTATGTATATACGTACCTGCGTGTGTAGATGCATGCATGCACGCACGCACGCATGCATGTATTTATGTATGTGTATAAGCTACACATGATGATGCCCAGATTCCCATTGCAACTCCTGCACTTTCGCAAAGCCTTGACACGGTAGCTCTGTACCTCGCGACACAACTCTGACTGTCGATCTGCCTGATGGGTATGGGATGGGGTTCTAGGGCTCTTAACAACTATGCTCAAGTTTCGGGAACCACATTAAGTTCAAGGCAAATGTCATGATCTGTAAGCATACTGCGGAAAAACCGGTGCGCCTCACCTAAGAGCTCCTGCAAATCGGCATCTCTTCATGAGAAGTTGTACCGTGAAGACCCGCTCCGGCGGGTTTTTGATCTTGGGGTTATCGTTTTCGGCGTGTCCCCTGAAGAGACCTGCAATTGCTGTACTGCTTGTCATTGGTATCGGTCACGTGACAGAAGTTTGTCCGTGGAGTTGTCCTGTGCATCGCTCTGTTTCATCCCTCCGCGGGTTGTGCTCCGATAGAAAACGAAAACCACAGCCCCCGCTGCATTCCCTTCCACAACCCTACGACATACAGCCTGAAACTGGAGGCTCTGACTAGGGCGTTCTTGTCGCGGCGGAAGTATGGTGGCTAATGGCAAAAGTCTTTGACTACTTTACTGCTGTTGCTTCTCTAATCCATTCTCATCATCATGTGCATCATCTCTCTCTCTCTCTCTCTCTGCACGTCACGGCCGCCAGGGTCGCGTTACGTCCTCTCGGTCACCTTCGGTGCCATCACCATCACCATCGCCATCATCATCATCATTCTGTTCGGTTGCTCTGGTCGCCAAGCCCAGGCCTGTGTAGCATCTCCAGGAAACGGCCGCCAACGCTGTGCTGCTACGGCGAAGCAGTCCGTGTGGCTCCGGTCCTTTAAATGATCTCGAGTTTTGTGCAGGTCTATCTGGATT